TTGAGAAAAGAGAGAAAGTGGATTGGGTTGCCTATTCCTAAGACAATAAGCAACGGTCTAGCTGCTCTTAGGAAGAGCTGAAATATCTCGGTGGATTTTTTCTATCCTCATAAAGAATTGTCTGTCATGGAAAACCATTTGGTCATTTTATATATAAAAAAAAAAGATTAACAAAAGAAAACAAAGGAGGAAATAATATGGTTCCAAGTTTTCTTTTCTATGTCCAATAGAATGTAGGACGTCGACAATGTCGACACACCAGGAATCATGAAAATGATCGATCTCACTAATATTAATGGATGGTGGTTGTTTGTGCAAGTGAAAAAGACAAGCAATCGCTTACACACCATATTTCTTTGGTATGGTTGAAGGATGAAGCTACCGAAATTGCTTTCACTGTTATCTTCATTTTCCTTCAACAACAATATATATTGCTTTTCATGGACGGATATAGCCGATCTAATTAGAGTACTGTGCTTCATCCTCTACATTTAAATTTAAATTCCTCTTTCTACTAAATTTGTGTATTTTATCCTATTATTTGCCCAAAAATAAAATGTCTCTTTTTCGCTTCAGAAAAGTTTATGGAGAGATTTGCTAATCTAACCATCAGCGACAGGATAATACTCACAACCTTCAAGCTGGAAGGATTTATGCGAGAAACCAAACTACCAACTTTCATCGATATGAATTTACGTATAAATTTATAAATCGTGCATTAATGAGAAATTATGGCAACCAGAATCAAACTTAGATTGGGAGTTAACCGCAAACCCGTCCTTACCAACTGAACCAACCCTCGTTGGCAATAAAATATTGTCTTTTCAACTTAAAAAGTAAACAGTAAGTTGTTTTACATTCCAAAAAGAGTAATTTAGAAGTGATATTAAAATAATTGAAAATGTTTTTTGTAAAAATGTTTTTGAAACTAATCGTTAATAAAAATTCAAGTGGATCTTGGAAAAACACTTCAAGTGTTTCATACAAAAAACACACATATCACAGTATTTTTGAAACCCAAAATCAATTTCACTAAAAATGTTCTCAATCCTTTTGAAAGCACTTCCAAATAAGAATAGAATTAAGTCTAGGGGCTCCTTCTCCTCACCTCCTTTGTAATAAACTTTATTTTTTAATTTTTGGATCAAATACTAAATTAGCTAAAGTGGTTGAGGATGCAATAAAAATTAAATAACAACGATTTTAATATATATATATATATAGAGAGAGAGAGAGAGAGAGAGAGAGAGAGAGAGAGAGAGAGAGAGAGATCGGCTTGCCATAGCAGATCATGTTCCTAATTGATTAGACACCAAAAGACCAAGACTTGCTTTTCAAAAAAAAAAAAAAAAAAAGACCAAGACTTTTCCCGTTTAACAGTTCTACAGAAGAAGCGCATGTCGCATTAAAAATTAAATAACAACGATTTTAATAATATAAACTTTTCAAGAATATTTACCCGACAACGACCCTAATATTTGTGTTCTAATTAAATTCAGATCAATCCAATTCCATCAACGTAATGACATAAGATAAGAGTAGGTCAGTGGTATCCTTCTGCTTTCACGCAAATGTTCAAGTAAACATTACCATCTGCTAAGATTGCTATTTAATAAATTAATTAATTACTCATTATTGTTGCAGTATAATCAGGCCCTTTAAAATGAAGGATTCTCATTTTTTGAAAAAGATTGGGATTTGTTGTGAGACACAATTCACATCGAACTTCAATAATTTGAATTATTTATTTTGTAAGTCTCAATTCATAGATCATCTTTGTAAAAATTCAATTTAACCCTAAACATTTCTTCATTTAATTATCAAGATGAAATTTCAATGTTTCTTAGAATATAGTATTCGTCAATTTCTTTGAATTCAATTAGATGCCTCAAATATTTTCAATTTGGCTAATATGTTGCAAGGATAACCTATGAAGTGTAACTTTAAAAATAGAAGATTCGAATCACTAAAATTCAATTGTGGTGTGGACCTCACAACTAATCCTTATTTTTTTAAATGAGAATTTCTTTCCTTAAAGGCTTTGCGGTGGTATAATAGTATTCTCTCAACTAGTAAATGAAAGTTTTAGTTTTGCGTTCAACTCGCAAGAACAACGAGTTTGATATACTCCGCTATGGTCAACCTGTATAATTTAACTCAAACCTCGCCCGCCTTAAACTAGAGCATATGACATATCAAATTAATTAAGAAGAACTAAGGGAAACTTCTTATTCATCAATGATCATCATGTACGATTTGTAATGAAATATTTCATTGACTATAAGACGCCACTAACATATTTTGTCTTTTACTTTTAGATATTTTGGTGGTGTCACTGTCGCGTTTATCATGCATAGATACGAAAAAAGAAAAATAAAAAAAAATTACAATTATTAAACTAAGCACTTGAAACGCAAGGACTAAAATAATCACTGCTAAAACTCTTGGGGCAACTAAATCAATGCCACGTTGAGTTCGCCGAAGAAATAGAGTATTTCAGAAAATCATTCCAAAAACATCAATTTTTGATAAGATATGCAACGTTTCATCTTAAATTATTTGACAATGAAAGAAGTAATTCAACTTTTATAAGTTTAGTTTTTACAATGTATCTTAATTTTCTGATATGAGATTTATACTCCATGCACGCTCTTTCAACAATTCACATGTAAAGTTATTTGAATTTAACACATAAAAAACACTTATTGAATCGACGTGGAAGCACGTAGACCATATATCAACTAAATGTAGAGGAAATATATCTTGAAATCTTAAAGAAAAGGAAGCAGATCAAACGAAGTTTGTTGATGAGCGGATCACATATGTATTAATCATGCCATGTTCTTGGATTTCTTCCCGGCCGGCCGGGGCCCGGGGACCATACATCAACTAAAGTGTACATACAGCTTTATGGACCACAGCTTGGCAATCGAGCTTTCGCATGCTTACATGCATATTCCTTCTACACTTAAACTTGCTAGATCACATGAAGTACAACGACACCAACAAATCAGCCTTTTTATCGAAAAAAAAAGAAAGAAAGGAACAAATTAACTTTAATTTCTATCCATTGCTTTCTTTTTTTTCTTACATCACTCACTCGTCAACCTAGCTCATTACTTCATGTGCATATTGGAAGCATGCATATCCAGTTGATGTATGCACTTTTAGGGTGTGAAAACAAGTATTATATAGTACAACTATAAGGATCATTACCTTAACATGTTGGCTACAATGCTAGCAATTTTTGCGTCTAATTTTAGCATTTGGACCTTTTTACTTATTTAAATGACGCATGTCGTTTTTTTACACACAATGATTGAAGAAAATTAGAAAAAGGCATTAAAGGTCTTGGTTTTTGTTTAAAAAAATAATGTCTTATGTGAAGAAGTTAAAAGGTTCAAATGCAAAGGTTTCTTGCAAAAGTTGATAATATTTCTCTATATGTAAACAGCGTACATGAATTCTTTTAAAGATAAAGCACAGTGTCAAAGTGCACTCTGGCATATATGAATATTTATCTTAGCATGTTAACCACCCTTATAAGTGGGCAATACATATATGTAAACTAGGAGGTCATTTGATAGTCATTTCGTTTTCACAATCTCTAAAAATAAGCACATAAAAAATCAATATATAATGTGAATAATAAAAAAGAGTAATGCTAGGATAATCAACTTTTTAAACTAAATTTGCTACTATATGATATGTCACCAATAGGAAATAAGCATGTTAATTAACACTTAAGTAATAATCTAATAATCAACAACCACGTCTTATAATTTACAAAATTTAATCTCAAAAGTTAGTATCCATTGCATTACAAAGAAAAATGAAATAAATTTTATCGGTTTATATATAACACTATGCATATGTTGAATATTCCATTCTCCATTAACGTGTAAAGGCTGCATATATATCAGCATAAACCGACGAGTTTGGGACCATCTCACCTGAAGAGAGCATAGAATATAATTATGATACATCCCACTTTCACATCTTGGATGGTCAGAATGTTCTCCAATCTAATTAGAGATGTGTCAGTTAAAAATTACACAGCCTATCGCTAACTCTGGCCCTTTTAATTCAAGGCCTTAGGGTTTGCGGAATGCGCGATTGATTTCAGTAAAACTTATACGAATCTGATATCAAAAGATGTAATGTGCAGAGGATTGGGTTTATCATACAGCATGACTTGTTTAGTCAAGGAAGTAGCAGTTGATATTTGCAGACTAAAATCTTTATAATATTATGTAGCGATGTGAGTTTCGTGCCGAATAATTTTTTGACATTAAGTGCTATATATAGTGCATTCCATGTATCTTGAGTAAAGTGGGAGATGAGAGATTTGAATGCATGGAAAGCGTGTAGATGGTTTAGAGAAGCATGCAATTGCAACTCATAGAGAAGTGCCAAGACGACAATATCCTAGCTGCCAAGAAATGTAAGTACAAAAATAATCAAACTACTTCTCCGATGAGCCCTCAAATTCCACCACCGCACCCCTTCCCCATACAAATCTCAACGGTCAGTCCACCTGGCACATCCCTACTGGCCCAGTTCGACAATTTCGGAACCACCTCCACACTCCTATATCCATCCACAATCCAATTAAAATCCCCATACGTGGCACAATACGACTCGAAAAGCCCACCCATCCAATCGTAGGGACGTCTGCACTCGATCAATGAACCCTAATACATTCCCCATATTACACCATACTTACATTGTGTAGGTACCTTAAATTCGAAAATTTTCTTATTATCTACATGCACATGCACTGAGTGTTGATTTTTTTTTTAAACCGTTAGATCAAATTCAATAGTTGTCGATGCATGTAGTTCTCAGGAAACATTGTACATTTAAATTTAATACCTTCTAAATTTGTTTCAACAAATCCCATGCAAATAGGAGCAAAACTTGTCACACGTACTTATTTCCACCTCTATATATATTTCCCCTTCATCTAATTTCTTGTACTTTTGAGAGGCCCTTGCGCGCTTCCCTGCGCCCAAATAAAAGTGTCCCCACAAGTGCCAATATTTACAATGAGCCCACATGCAAACGCAAACAAAAGGGACGTGATCCGCACCAACAATAATCATGGGACGTCGTTTTACCCTCCGCCCTTGAAGATCAACAGGGACTCCCATTTCATCAAGAAGTCCTCGTCCTCGTCTTCGGCCTCGCCGTCGTCGTCAGCTTCGTCGTCCACATCTTCCCTCGTGAACGCTGTGGCTGGTGTGAAACCGCCCCAGCAACAGCGCCATCCGGTGATTATCTACACGCATTCGCCCAAGGTCATCCACACGCACCCGAGAGATTTCATGGCGTTGGTGCAGAAGCTCACGGGGCTATCGCGCTTTGAGGATGACAGGCGAGAGCCTCATCCGCAGCGGCCGCCTCCTTCAGCAAAACGCGAGGTTAATGTGGAGAGTTTGTTGGAGGAGAAGATCATGAATAATAATAGGATCACCGGAAATTTTATGATGAGGAACGAGGACAACGATTCGTCGTCGGTTATTACGACGGAGGAGAATTGTAGCAGCAAAAACATTACTAATAACAATAACAACAACAATAACAATAATAATGTAGGGAGTGTCGTAGGTGTAGGAGGAGGAGGAGGGGATGGTCAGGTGAATTCCTGCTTCGTGCCGCCTAATCCTTACCTCGGAAACATTCCGGTTTTTACGCCGAACGCCACCGATTTCTTGTGCTCCAATTCCATCAACCACCTCTTCACAGCAATATGACGATCATCCTGCATGGTGATCATGATTCATGATCATGCGGCGGCGGAGGAGGAGTACAACTTTGTGATGGAATGGCCCTGCCTACGGGACTAAATTGAAGGCCTGCCTACGTGACTAAATTGAAGGGAAGGATTCGCCGTTTTTGTTAGAATTAATGTTTGATTATTTGTTGGTTTTTGTTTTTCATCGATTTTTTGTTGGAGTTAATGTGGATGCCTGCAAGCTGCCAATAAAAGTTCTAATTTTCTGAGGTAAAACTTCTTTTTTTCAATTCTTTTTGTCCATCAATTTGTCGAAAACACGATTGAAATTAGAAATTCTGTTTGTTCGGATCACTTCATACTTAATCGTTGTAATCTGATAATTAACTCATGTTTCTGACGGCTTGTTGTTTATCAAATCAAAATGGATGGATGAAGTAGGAAAAAGATAAGACGAGCCATATTGACTAGAACAGATGTGCTACTTTATGAATCCTAAATAAAATTTTGTTCTTTATAATTGAGATTAAATTAATGTAGTAGGTGTGCCCACCCTTATGCACCCTCTTCTGGAAAAATGAAAATTGATGGATTTAATCGATCCAAAAATGGCAGCAGGACGCAGGCCACCTCCGTTAGACCATTTGAACAATTGCAGATTGCAGAAGCAGCTTTACGATTTATCCTGGCGGACTGCGCCGGAGAAGAAGCAGATAAAAAAAATTAAGAATTAATTGGACAAACAAACCTTTTTATTTATTTATTTTCTTTCTTTTTTCCTTGAATCTCATACTATATAGGAGCTTATTTCGACTTCCTTGTAAAGATATACACACACTTTCTCTCTATGTAGTACAGAAAAACGTTACCTGGACATTTATAATACATTTCGCAAATAGTTACATCATCATTTCTTCTTCTTCTCTTCCTTTTCTCTTTCAAGAATAACGGGCGCCGCTGGTATGCTGAACCACCACTCTCGCAATCTTCTCATCCATCTCTCCGTGCTCGATCTCCTCATCGGCGAATAACACGTAAAAGTCTCCAAAAAGATATATAGCACAATATATTTGACGGGCATGAAAGCCAGAGCCAAAGCCATAACTAGAAGAGCTATCGCAAATCTTTGACTCGCCTGATCATCATTACACAGAATCATTCATCATCCATGTTCAATGTGCTAAAAGTATATATAACTGAAGTAGAAAGGTGGAGGAACGAGCAAGGAATAAGAGAGTGGAACCTGAGGAAAAATGGACAGCAACAAGGCACGTAGCTTGAGAAGAACAACGTTCCCATCCTGGATGACCTCTTCAGCTTGAGATATTGCATTCTGAACAGCCAAAAGCTGCTCCATCGTATTCATCGCTGGAGGGGCTAACACCTTAACCTCGTGAGTGGACTTTCCTTGGCTAAAATATTGAGTGAGAACCATGAAGACCGCCATAAAGACGAGCGTCAATGCAAAGGCATAGCTCAGCCATCCCCTGAAAAGTACACGTGTGTCAGTCTACAGACAAAATTCCTACCGGTTTGATGTGTGGAAAGAAACACTAGAGAATCGAGACCATGAGAAATCCCATTGAACTGTATTTTTTTCTCTAGCTACCCCGTGTTCTAATTTAGGGAGTTTCCAAAAAATTTAGTATCTACGAATTTTCATTTGGAGGGCTTGTTTCTGTCACTGAAAACCATGTTACATTGAGTCAACATCAAAGTTTGACTCTGTTATCATGTGCGATAATCATGCTTTTTAAATATTCATTTTTTCCTGCACTCCCCCTACGTCTAAATTAAAGATCAACCAGTAAAGGAAGAAAATGAAATTTCAAGCAGTTTACCTGCAAATGATGTAAGTGAAAACACAACAGAAAAGCAAAGACTTCAATGGATCCTCCCAAAATGCCAAAGATTGCAGGCACTTCCCTAATTCTGTCATTGGAAACAGTAACTCCTGCAATTACTCAACAAATTTAGACGACGTTGCCAGGAAATGGAGTAACTCATAAGCTATGTAAGAGAATATAGGCTAAATAAAACCTTAAATAACATTACATTATAACCAAATACCTTCATCACTACAAAATTTGTATCGATCCCTTCCACTTTGACTCCATCTACTGTTGCTTGTGCTAGCGCCACTTTTTCATAGTTGCTTTTAGATTCCTTAACTGCTTTTTCCAGCAAAGTAACTTCTCCCACAGTTATCTCACCCACGGCAAGCCCAGCCTCAACAGAATTATTAGAACTTGTTCCAAATGCAAATCCCAAGTTAGAGATCATATCCAAGGCTGAGATCGAATACATTCCACCTCCTGGCTTAGAATTGTTAGACCTATCTAATTTTTTAGAAGTTGACAATTCTGCCATGGTTTCAAGTATCAAGTCTCCACCTGGTAATTGATCACAAAGATTGAACATTAGAAGACCCTCGTAGCATAAATCAGTTTGAGAGATAATTTCTTGAATTGCTTGTAGTCGCAGAATTCCAAGCACTGCCTTTGAAAGTGCTTCATCCTTTTTTATCCCCTTGATCTGGTATTTATTTATAAATTGATGAACGTATAAAATCTCCCGTATGATTGCTAGCCAGTAATCACGACGTGTATGCCCCTTCAGCTCAGGAAACTCTATTATAGCTGGTTCTGATCTACAGAAAAGACACTACTGAAAGTTGATAATCAAGTCCTAAGAAGACGACTTTCTTTTATAGCTACGTGGCAGATCAAGTGTAGAGACTAAAAGCACCAAAAATAAAAGGTAATGCTTCACTTACAATGAAATTGATTTATAAAAGACTGCCTTGTCAAACAGTCTAGTACCCCATGGGCCAGTCAACTCAGCTTTCACAAGTTGTTTTAAGTCATCTGATAGATCATATCGTTTTGCCTTGTCATAAGATACAACACGCAGGGCCTCGAAGTAAAGTGCATGATCTGTCAGAATTAACCTTCCTGCTTACAACACAATTAATTTGGCATTAATAATCTTCATGTGTAGTAAATCCATAATACGAACTGACAAGGACATGAACCAACAAAGATATTTGAATTGTTTAACTATCCATTGACGTACCAGGCCATGTAGAAATTCCTACATGCTCAAGAACTGGTTGGGTAGTGACTGTTCCATCTACTTCCAGAATCTTCTCTCTTTTTGATGATCGCATGGCAGAAAGAAGTGATGACTCTGATTGGCTTTTCATTTTTCTTATTGCTCTGTACGAGAAAATTTTCAAAATCGTAGGACTAGATATGAGCGTCTGATACGCGGTACAAGATATATGCTTCCAGAAATTCCATAAATTTGAACTTTGAAATTTAAGAAAAGAAAATGCAAGTTTGAAGGGGAGAGAAGAAGAAAATGCAAACTCGATAGGAGAGAATGTACCTTTCTAGTCCACTTAGGTACTTGTCATATGTGGACAACTGAAGTCTCCCATCGCTTGAAGATGCAAGCACCTCAAAAAGATTTTCACTGATAATCACATTTGCAATAATAGGAACTGCTGGAGCTATCCTACAGAAAGCGTCTAACCCAACGGATAAATCCTCATCTAACTGCACAAAAAACGAGGACATGTTGACATTAATAGAAGCATTACAGTGCAAAGAATCACTTCAACCCCAAACTATAATTTACACATAGTCAAAACAGGTCTGATAAAAAAAAAAAATTTAACATAAGATTAGAGATTGTATACTGTATGTACAGTACTGATAGGAATATCTAAGAATCTACAATATAAGAAATAAGCTTCTAATGAAAAAGAAAAAAACAAAATTTACATTTCGTAAAGGTTGGCTAGAAACAGCCGGAGCCTCCCAAGCTATCATCATGTCATATGTCAAGCGTCGAAACTTTTTATCAGCCAGATGACCTGTTACTTGAGTGGACAGAGCAAGTGCTCGGAAACAGCAGTATTCCAAAAAGTTCCTAGCATAACACGATGGATGCTTTATAGATTCAGAAGCCTCAGAATTGAAGCCTTCACGAAGCTCAGTTGTAGGAACACCAAGGATTCTGCATCATTTGTTTGTTATCAATAGAAAATCACTTCTCGATACTAGTTACCACATTTTGTTTGTGATTCATATGAAGTTCCCAACAACAGAGAATAGAATAATTTCCAAAGGAGCCAAAAACATAAGTTACACATATTTCATCCAGTTTTACTGTGACAATATAACAGTTGACAGAGTATCAGGTGAACAGCTGAAGACTTACTTTGAACATCTTCGGACAACTATGTTTGCAATTGGAGATAGCTCGGGAACCCAATTCGTCTGGGCAGAAGGAGATTTTTCCATATCCTCCAATTCTTCATCATAAGGGCTACGATCTCCAAGCAACCATTTGAAGGATCCATCTCTAACAAAATTCTCGAGCATATTTGCCACAGCCATCCCTAGTTTTTGCCCTCACTGTGTGTCTAAACTGTAAAGGAGCAAATTACCATATATGTCAGTTCTTAAATTTGATTGAGGACCCCAATTTCACAAACACCACTGTCCAAATATTGCACTTCTCAAACTAAAAGAACAGAAATCGATGGAAGGAGCGCTACATAGGCTGCTCACTTTGGAATTTTTGTTCATCAAAACCTCAATACCCCCATCACTTTATAGCACATTCAACCAGAATGACATTTTACAATAGTAAAGTAAAGTTTACTCTTTTAATGTATTATGATTTCACTTATCATAAGTTCGCAACGAAATTCAGAAACTACAAGAAGCAAATTTTAGTCAATTAAGTTTACTCTTTCAATCTATTAAGATTTCAGCAATCATAAGTTCATAGCAAAAATAAGAAACTTAAACAATTGCAACACCAGCAAAAGTTCACAAAAACCACCAGATCAAAAAATCACTTGCAATCCGAAAACCCAACACCAAAATTCTACCAACAACATCATCAATCTCTTCAACTTGCTACAAACCAATTCTAAATTACTCACCACAATACCAAAAAATTAATCAAACCTAATTCTCAAATCCCACTACCAAACTAAACCCAGCAACTAATAACACCCAAAAACAACACACCTCGCCGTAAAATGCACATTCAAGACCGCCGCTTTCTCAGCAATCTCAGCTTTTGCCGATGAAATTCTTCAGATTTCTGCAACATTTCGGCAAACCCACCTCCGATTACACGCTCGGAACCAAAATCTACGAACCCACATCACCAATTTGCGAAATTAATTGAAGCAAAAGAAGAATTGGTCCGAGCAGCCACGTATGAAAGTGTGGAAGATCATAAATGTGTCGTGGTTCGGGGGTTTATTGTATTATATTCGAAGGGAAACTGAGATTGTTAGATAAGTACAGCATTCGCGGCAACTGTGACAAAAGAGTTTTCATCATCCAAAATACTCCTCTGGCTAGTAGCAGCAGGGTTGTGATTCGCTGAGGTAAGGTGCAGTAGATGGTACAATGCTGTCAGCGCATGTGTCAGCTTCATAACATGCCACGTGGCGCTTGTTGGGATCAAAAGAGTAGACAGGTGCAACCATTTGCATCATCACTTGGTCTTTTATCTTGGAAAGAGATCCTCTTCGGATCTCTTCTACAAAGCTATTGGATCAAATGATTTGAGTCTTTCAAATTTTATCCAAAGGTTAAAAATTATTACAGTTTTTAAGAGATCAAAATGGGTGGGCTGTTGGATGAAATTGAAAGGTCCGGATCACTTGATCCGGTAGCCTTGGTGAAAGAGATCCAGAAAGGATCTTTTTCTAAGATAAAAGACCAAGTGATGATGCAAATGGTTGTACTGTCTACTTTTTGATCCAAACATCCGCCATGTGGCAAGTTATGAAGCTAACACATGCGCTGAAAGCATTGTACCATCTACTACACCTTAGAGTAAGTCCACCCCAAAGGAATAGGTCAGCTCACAGCCTTCAAAATGGCCCGGCACCCACAAAAAGTGCTCCAGCCCAGCCTAATAGGCTAGCACCCTGCCTAAGCCGTCCCATAGGGCGGTTCAGAATGTGCGAAGCCATGGCCCGACCTATTTGACGTCATGCTGATGCTAGCGTGATGTCACAACCCATTTAAAAAAAATTTTGCGCCAAGCGCATGTGAAACACGCGCGAGTGGCCGCACATTTGGACAAGAAAAAGCGGCGGGGCCCGCGTGTGCAATTGTGACAAGGGCGAGGGTCCAAATGCCACGTGGTTCATTTTGAATCGTTGGATTTCCAACAACTATTTTCTGAGCCGTTGGATTTCCAACAGTAAAAAAAAAAAAAAAAAAATCCATCGCCTAGCCATGTGGCACAATCTGGGCTGTTGGATTTGAATTCTTTTTTAAATCCAGCAGTCCAAATTAATTATTTTAATAAAAAAATGTTTCAAAATTCAGAAAACTTAAAAAAAAAAAAAAAATTATTATCAATTTCTATAAATACCTAACTATCATCTTCCACTTTACACCACATTTCAATATTTTCAACACTTTCAACCAAAATAGTACTTTCGGATAATGACATATGATATGACAATATTAGTTAAAAATCCTATCCGAAATTAAAATTAATTTTTTTTATTTTATAAAAAAAATTAATAATATTTTAAATGGGCTGGGTACCAGCGCATTTTGTAGGGATGAAGATCGTTTGTGCCAACGTATTTTTTAGACTTTGTGCCAGCGCATTTTTTAGGGGTGGAGAAACATTTGGCCAATTTACTGTTCATGGGATCTATCACTGTTCACTAAGTGGATTAACTAAGCTAAGTACCAGCACATTTTTTAGGGGTAGACTTGCTCTTAGCTCTTTGCCATGTTATTAGGTTTGACTAACTTTGTAAGTTTGACTAATTTATTCAGTTTGACAAGTTTTTTTAGTTTGACTAATGTTTTTTAGTTTGACTAATTAATTCGAGTCTTTCTTTTAGGGTTTAGGGTTTAATGCTACTAATTTTATATTATGAGTAAATTGTAGCAATGGTTCCTCAATTTTAATTAAATTAAAGCAATGGTCTCTCAACTAAAAATTCATTACCATTGGTCTCTCAACTTATCAAAATGTGTAGCTATAGTCATTTTCATTAATTTTGTCAAAATTTTGTTAATATAAGTTATGTTGGAATGACCATTTATACAATTAGGGTCTCTCAACTCATCAAAGTGTGTAATTATGGTCATTTTCGTCAACTACGTCAAAAAATTTGTCAAAACAAGTTATGTTGAAAGGACCATTGCTACAATTGGGTTTAAGTTAAGGAACAATTTCTCCAGTTGAATTAAAGTTGAGAGACCAATGGTAATGAATTTTTAGTTGAGGGACCATTGCTCCAATTGAGTTAAAGTTAAGGGACCATAGCTACAATTTACTCTTAGATTATATAAAACAAAACTGGTGCATCATAATTTGGAACCGGATCCCCTTCGGACCCAAGGGAACTAAGCACAAAGATCAAATGATCTAGATACAAACAGGGGCCCATCTAAAAGTTATAATAATTGTAGTTGTTTGATCAAATTTCAATGGTCCGGATCATTTAATCATTGAACTCAGTTCACTTGGATTCGGAGGGGATCCGATTCCTCATAATTTAACTGTTGTTCTGTGACCCCGTTGATAAAAAAAAATCTAATACTCGGCCTTTACACGGCCGCACACGAGTGCAGGATGTGGGAAAGCACAAACAACAATCCCCTCAGCTAATGACCTCCAGCTTGCTCTAAAGTGTTGTGCTTCTTTTCTACCTTTCATCTTCTACTAACTTTCTACATCGTCGGTACTCAGTAATCTCATCCTAATTGGACAACAGATATAGATAGTAAACACTTACTGTGATTTATACGCTAAATGCAGCAAGCAAGCGAGATTTACTTCTTGAGCAGTATGTTCATGGGACGTGTATCGTACTGGTCATGCAAAATCAAGACAAAACGGTTCATTCTCTATCACATTGAAGGACTCAAAAACGTAAATTAGGTAAAGCGAATACCAGCTAAACGGTGCGTGCATGCATATGATATGAACACTGGTATTCCCCTTTCAAGGTTTTGGTTCAGATAAACATGGATGTTCCAAATACATCTGTACAGATAGAGGTTGGCTACTCACTGAGTTAATAGCGGTTATTAATGGAGGTTGTTGCCACTGCTTTGTGTCTGTTGGAATCCATGACTCCGAATCCTTGCTTGTGCTTGCCTCAGGGAGGGATCGAAATTACGCAGTTGTCTCCCACCGGCAAAATGTTGTAAAAGAAAAGCTTACATGCCTACCCCTGATCGATCACTAAAGGAAACAAGATATTAATCCAAACCTATAGTTAACGAACTCAGAAACTACGTAAGCATCTGGTCAATATCCAACCAAAATGATACTTCTATTTATTTCAAATCTCAAGGACCAAAATGATGAGTTATGCAAATCTCAGAGACCATTTTGGCTACAAACCTTTTTTTTAATACATTTGATACTTGTACTCTAAACTACTCTAAGAGGAAGAGATTTTGAACTCCAAACACAGTGGATTGAGGAGAGTTCTATGATTTATTATTGATATTCATAGCATTCAACCTCTCTTACTTTTATTGATATTATTCTAGGGTTAATTACGATAGTAATATTCTGATTTATACTCGTGTTTCATTTTAGTCTTAACTTTATTTGTTGACAATCAAATAAGCAAAAGTATGACAAAATGGTTAAAGTGAGTCACATACCACAAGTGAAAAACTATTACATAGATAAACTAAATTGGAGATAAAGTGAAATACAAATATAAGTTAAGGGACAAATATTGTAACTAATTCTAGTTTTAGTTAATTCCTGTTGGTTTTTTTTTTTTTTTCATGTGAATAAAAAAGCTTTGCTTTCATGTCTTAATAATGTTGAATTTTTTATTCTTGAGAAATAAATTGCAGGCCAATACGCAGTAAATTGGGCGAGGTGGGTGAGCGTGGCAGCGAGCGAGGTGGGCGAGCGTGACAGAGAGCGAAGTGGACGAGGTGTCAGGTGTGTGAGGTCTAAAGGATGATGTTTTGAGTTTGAAGAGTGAGCAGCAAGGTCGGGGTATCGAGTTTGAACTTTGGAGTCTGGAGACTGGAGGCAAGGTATCAAGTTTGGAGTCTGAAGAAAGGAGGGGACGAGGGGTCTGTTAGTTAGGGTTAGTGTAAAACATAAAACAACGTAGTATTATGGGTTTAGATGTTTGGTTTTGTTCGTCTCAGTGGGTGTCCTAACATTTGAAACCGAAACTGAACCAATTGAATTCGGTTCAGTTCAGTTAGAGAAATTCAATTTAGTTATTTTGATTCGATAATTTGTGCGATATTTTTCGATTTTCAATTTTTTTGGAACACACCCCTAATTCTTCTTGAGTCCTTAATCCATATAGGTCAACATAGTTTCTCTCATGCGCATGGGTTGCTTATCAACATATTTGATTAAATCTCGACCTTCCAATTTTTTAAATGAAAACGAGTGGCAGAGATTTGATCAATTATGCTGATGCACATATAGGGCATGTGCATGATAGAAACTCTCATTTGATCAAACCATACATATCATCTATGTAGTCTAGTTTTGTCTATGTTCATAGTTGCATGTGAGGCTCACAAATCGGGACAAAAACATCCAAAAAATTACTTTTGTTGACCACGAAATGACATTTTGACCTTGCATGTGATAATCATCTATGGGAAAGAATCCCCTCTAGATCCTTTCCACCAAGTCCACTAAGGCAAATAATTTGGATCTTTGAAATTTGATCTAACGGCTAAAGTTATTATAACCTTTAAAGTAGACCCTTATTTGTAGTCATTGGATCAAATTTCAAGAGCCCAGATTGTGTGCCTTGATGGAGTTGGTAAAAAGGATCCAGAGAGTTTCCTTTCCCATCATCTACAACCTTCAAACATAATTTAAACATAGATCTCGATTTTGATTAAGATTGATGCAAACATTACCATTTGAGTATGATGATGCTTCTTGACCACATCACTATAACCATCTTGAGACACTCGACGATGAGATGGTTCGTGGTGAATCATATTACATTGAGGTTTATGCATATTAATATTATGAGATGCATGCACACACTTAGGTTTCTTTTTTGTGCTATTTTTTAGTTTTGCCATAATTTAGTGGGTATTTTGACAGACTAACATCTTCCACTCCAAAAGCTTCTAATCTATGTGCCTTGAACTTGCCCATATTAAGTTATTGGTACATTCCCAACTCCACCTAATATGTGATCTCCTCAATCCAATTTGGGAATATATGGCACTATCCATTTTCCATTACGATTTGAGGGGGGACCCTTGAGTCCTCTTCCTCCTCTTTGTTCATGCATACTGCTTCAATAGACTTGGTCCAAGAGGGGTCAAAGAAAAGAAGA